CAGATGCCCCCTCCCGGGGCCATACGCGCAGCGGTTCATACGGAGAGGCCAGAGCTTGTTTAGCCAGGTGATCGCGAGTGGGTTACTGTTATCCAGAGCATCTGCGCCGCTGGGTATGCAACCCTGCCTTTTATCATCTACAAAGGACGCGTCCACATCTCTGCCTAGTATAAGGAGACAGATATACCCTATAATTAGAAGCTCTTAGTCTCTAAGAATAGTTAGACAAACAACACACTTAGCCTTAAGTAGTTAAAGCACTTTAACACGCATATAAAGACGTGTTAGGTAGGAGTGTACAGGTTGCTTATCTTAGACAGCTATAAGTGTAACGGTCTAGACTCTAAAGCTAAAGAAGAGCTAGAGCTAGCCGGTTACATTAGCTTAGCCGGCTTGGCTTAAGCTAGATATATATTATCTACGCAGTTAACTAGGCGTCTAGTTAACTTGTGCATGCTTTTTAGCAAAAGTTGTTAGGAAGTAGATATCCTTTATTGGCCTTTGGCCAGACTACTACAGATGTAGGAGCACAGGGTAGATACAAATAAGGCAGAAGGTTGTTGTATTAAGGGAGCTACAGCGAGCAATTATATACACAACCAGATGAGTAAGCAGGTGACTAACACAGTCACGTGAGGTGCAGTTCACAGTGTACCGTATGAACTGAGGTGCCAGGCTGACACCAGCCATATCACTGAACCAGCCATTTTCTCTTAGCACAACTAACACAAGTTACTGCAACTACAACTACTTACTATTAAACAGTGACCTAGCATACTATGTGCTTATATTAGATTTAGAAGATGTTTCTGCACCCTCCTAGCACGTTCGTGCGTTGTGTCTAGTTTTGCTGCAGTTCCTACAGCGCTGAACAGTTAACTGAGCTTCTAGTTGACCACCTCTACCCTAAGTCTTCTTAGATAGCTGAGCTGCTACACACGCCTCAGCAGCTACCCGCGATGCTGCTAGGCCATACTTAAGTGTGCCACTATGCTGAATCTACTTTCTCTTACGCAATTTTCTCTTAGTTATTACTGCTAATTACTCTTTAAGCTCTCGCACGCAGGCCTTAATAAGGACATTTTTGTACAGTATCTCTTTAGCCCCTTTTATAAGCTTTAAGAACCCCTCTTATACTATACTTAGTAATTATTAGAAGGAGTTACTTACAAGCTTAGATTAAGACCTAAACTTGTGTATATTGCTTAGCGTCTTAGATT